CCCCCACACAGCGTGCGGTTCAGGAGGCCTCGCTGAACCAAACATCTAAACCCTTCCCACTCTGACCCCCCACCCCCACCCTACAGGGTGCGGTCCAGAAGGCCCAGGAGATCGCTGCCAACACCCCCGACAGCTTCATCCTGCAGCAGTTCGAGAACCCCAACAACCCCAAGGTGATCCGCGGTGTGGTGTGAATGTGCGAGTGTTTGTCTGTGTTCAAACGAGTGTGTGAGTGTGTTTGTGTGAGAGAAAGTGTGTGTGAGAGAGTGAGTGTGAAAAGGAGTAGGAGAGAGTGAGAGAGAGACAGAGAGAGGCAGAGAGAGAGAGAGAGAGAGAGAGAGAGAGAGTGTGTGTGTGTGTGTGTGTGTGTGTGCGTGTGTGTGCGCGCGCGTGGGGGAGGACGACAGGCCGAATTCGTGCCAGGAGAGGGTCGGACAAAAACAGCACACTTTGAGGGGCCTGCCCGGCGCTGGTTCGCAGCGACAGACGGCCACACGCAGCTGCTGCCGGCGGCCCGAGGGACACACCCCTTGACTCCGTCTCTCAGCTCATTCCCCTTGAAGCATCCCTCCACCCCCAACTCACCCCAAACCCCAACCCAGGTGCACTACGAGACCACCGGCCCTGAGATCTGGAAGGCCACCGACGGCAAGGTGCGCTCTGGCCCCCAATCGCAAAATAAGAACCAAAAACCGCCGACTGCGCCATGCCATCGCATCGGGCAAGGGGTTGCATTGCTGCAGTGTGTCTCCCGGGTCCGCGGCGGCATTCATAAGGGCAGGTCCTCCTCGCGGGGGCAGCAACGCAACCCCGCTTGCCTGCCGCCCCTGGGGTGTCCTCTCGGTCCATAATTGCGGTGGTCGTGCCCTGCCCCCTGATTTGTGATCTTGACCGCAGGTTGACTTCCTGGTCAGCGGCGTGGGCACCGGCGGCACCATCACGGGTGCTGGCAGGTACCTCAAGGAACAGAACCCCAACGTCAAGGTTGGTGGCTTTGGATTTATTTGGGGGTGTGTGTCGTATGTGTGTGGTGGGGTTTGTTTGTGTACGCCTGCGGAGGAGCACGTGAGTGCATGTGCGTGCGCGTGCGCGAGGGGGGACGGAGGGGGGGGGCACACAGTAGCACACACTACATGCACACACCCACACGCTCACACGCACACACGCACACACACGCACATGCACACATCCATACGCTCACACGCACACACACACACTCTCTCTCACACACACACACTCACACTCGTGACCTCAATCTCTGTATGCGCAGCTGGTGGCCGTTGAGCCGTCGGAGTCCCCCGTCCTGAGCGGCGGCAACCCGGGCCCCCACAAGATCCAGGGCATCGGCGCCGGCTTCGTGCCCGGGGTGCTGGACACCGGCCTCATCGACGAGGTCATCCAGGTGCGCGCGATCCGAGATCATCTGATCTGGATATTGATCTGATCCGGTCGAAGCCCTGGCCCAGCTGCGCGGCTGGACGGCCGCGAGTCGACGCTTCGGGGGCGGCGGCGGCGGCGGTGGCGGCGGCCCAGGAGGCGCCCCGCGGCGGATGGCGCACCCCGATGCTAGCCCGCGGCCCCCTTCTGCGCGCCCCGCCGCCGCTTTTCCCAACATTTGGGTGCCTCTCCCGCGCTATAGCTCCCTCCACCTCTCGAAACCCTCCGCCCTCAACCTTCTGCGCCCCGCGTGTGCAGGTGTCGAGTGACGACGCCGTGGCCATGGCGCGCCGCCTGGCCACCGAGGAGGGCCTGCTCACCGGCATCAGCAGCGGCGCCGCCACCGTCGCCGCCATCAAGGTGCGGCGCACACACCCGCCCCGCCGCCCCACCTTCCCAGCCGCCCGCCGCGTCGGTGCCGCCGCGCCGCTGCGCGTGTGCTTCCCCGCGGTAGTGTGCCTCAGCGGCTGCCCTCTAGCGTCGGCCCGGCGCACCGGCCCGCACCGGCCAGCGCCGGCCGCCGTCGCCCACGCTGCGCCCCTTCCTTGCCGACCCTGGCCTGCGGCAGCGTGCGCCGCCCCCCAACGGCGCCCCGACCCTTCACTACACAACCCCTCGCAACCGCCTTGCCGTGCGTCGCGACCCAGCGCCACCATGCCCACCGCTCACACAACCCTCTCGTGCTTTCACAAATCAAACTCAAATGATTCAGGTCGCGTCCCGCCCCGAGAACAAGGATAAGCTCATCGCCGTGGTGCTGCCCAGCTTCGGCGAGCGCTACCTGTCGAGCGTCCTCTTCCAGTCCATCCGCGAGGAGGCCGAGAAGATGACCTTCGAGGTCTGATCTGGCACGATCTGATCTGATCTGGCCCGACCTGGGATCGCACGATGATCTGAGGTGGGGGGCGGGAGCGGGGCAGCCCGCTGCGGCGCGGGCTGTGCACCCCCTCTTAACCATCTTTGGATCGCTTTCTTGATGGCTCTATGCGTCGGCCTGCATGTTGGCAGCCCCGGCCCCAGCCCAGCGCCCGTCGCACCGCTGTTGCCGGCGAGGGTCAAAGCGGAAAAGGGGATGTTTGCATGGGGCTCGCTTGGCTTGTGAGCTGCGCAGCCGCCGCCCTGCCGCTTTTTGAGCTGCGCTGGGTTGGCCACGGCCTGCAGGCTGCGCGCCGGACGGCGGTGTCGCTCCCACAAACTGGGCTGTGCCTATGACTCGCGGGCCGTTTGCGCCCGCCCCTGTGTAATTTGTGGTTGGACCTGCACCAAGATGACACGCCGCAGCATCATGGCCGCTGCGGTCTAGTCCAGTAGCCGGGGAACGAAGTCTGCATGCCCCGAGCAGCTCGGCGAGCGGTTTGGATCACCAGGGCAACCCTCGAAGGCGGCTCGCGACTTCATGCCGGGCCTCCTCAGCCGTATGGGCACTGCGTGCCACAAGGGGCCACATCGGTGCTTGTGACCGCCGCAGGCGCGGCTGCGCGGCACAGAGGGCAGCAGGGAATGGTGTGGCGGGGGGCGGAACACTGGCTGCTTTTGAAAAGGGGTGCAGTTTTCAAGGAGCAGCAGGGCCGCCCGTACTGCCTGTGGCTAGGGATACAGCGCCGACACTGTGCAGTTGGGAGATGAATGCTGGCGAGCGTGCAGGCGCTGCCAGAGTGATGACGCAGCAGGCGGGCCGATGGTGGTGGCGGTGGCGGGAGCAGGGGCAGTGGCGGCTGCGGCGTCGGTGTCGGCGCCCCGGGAGGGAGGGGGTGCGGCATCTGCTGGCCAGAATTAGCTGCGCTGAGCGGACGTGCGCGACCCCTGCAAAAAGCGACACGCGACCAACTGCATACTCGCTGTGTTTACAAGGAGGAACTGCCAGTGGATAGCCTGGCGATTTCATGTACCGTGGCGCAGGCGCGGCTGGGGGTGGGGAGGCCTCTGCCTGGTGTTTGGAGGCCGCTCAGTCGAGCAGGGGGAACGCATGAAAACCTCCTGCAGCCCGGTGCGGCAAATGAGAAGGGGTGGGTGGAGGAGGTGCAGGCTGTTATGACGGTCTCCTTGCCGATTGGTTGACCACGTGGTGATGCCGATTTCGTGCAGGAAGAGTGCGCAACGTGGAGCCGAAAGGATCCAACGCAGATAGCCGTCCCCCGCCTTGCCTGCCAACCCCGAGCCACCCACCAAGACGAGCCAGGGACTCCCGCGCAGTCGGCCGTCTGCGGTCGCCGGGCTCGGCGGCGTGAGGGGAAGGAGCCTGGGGCCGTTTCCCATTCCACGGGGTGCATGGGGCTGAGGACAACGTGAGCCTTAGTCAAGGCCGTACAAATCAAGAGGCACCGCCGCCGCGCCCTTTGCCGCCGCCCCGCCGTTTGCCGCTGCTGCGTCCTGCCCTGCTGCTTCGCCGACGCTCGAGGAACCGCCAGAACCCTCCGCGGCGGCCAACGGCTGCGCGCCGGCGGCGCCGGCGTCGCTTCCGCCCCCACCAGCCGCGTGCTCTGGCAGCTCGCCGGCGCCGGAAGCAGGCGCAGAGCTGCTGCCTCCGCCGCGGCTGCTGCCAGCGCTGGCCGCCCCGTCAGCGTCGGACGGCCCCGGGCCGCCGCCGTCAGCACCTAGCCGCAACTCCAGCCCCCCGCCTGCACGCGCCGCCGCCGCTGGCGCCGCCGCGGCAGGCGGTCGCGCAGCCGGCTGCCTCACCTCTGAAACCAAGGGCGGCGCGGCCGCCCTGCCGCCGCCCGCGGCCCACCTGCCGCCCGCAGAGACAATCAAGCCATCCGGCACCCGCCCCTCCCCTGCCCCAATCGGCCCCGCCGCCCCTGCTGCTCGCGGGCGCCGCAGCCGCTGCTGCCCCGCCTCGGCCGCGCGCCGCGCAGCCTCCTCCGCCGCGGCCGCGCCCAGAGAGGCCCAGACCTCCGGCGCCTGCTCGTTCGCCCATGAGGTGAAGAACAGCAGCTTCTGAGCAGCCGCCTTGAGCCGCCGCCGCAGCCGCGCCGCCGCCGCACGCACAGGTGCGCCCGGCGCGGCGGCGTCGC